CTGCTCATTGGTGGCAAATTTGGATATGTCTCATTAAAAACTGTACATGTTCTGCTTATAATCACATTGCAACGTCCGTGAATGATTAATAAATTTAAAATATCAGCATTTGAATGTGTATTGCTTTCCATTTCTTACAAACACTAAATTAAACTGTCACTGAAAGAGACTAACAACAAATTGACAGTTTAGTTGTTTGTTTTGAAGTTTTGCTAAAAATTCTACAGCTATCCTCGCCAGAAATTAACTGATTTAGGTGATTACACCAAAAATAGTAGATAACTTAAAAACTAGAAGAGATAGGTATAGGGAACCCTGATACCGTTCGAAAGAGAATAAAATTGTATTTCAGAATATAGAAAAACATACAGGGGGTCCCATTAAAAAAACCGACTTATGAAGATTTGAAGTTAACTAAACTCGGCATTAAATTTCTAGCACCCTGTATGCAATTAAGCCACTTTGAAAGTATAGATGGGAAGCTTAGGGGTCTAGCTATCCCCCCTATAAATATTGTTGCTTTATCTTTCTTACTATAAAATACATATGGTTTGAAGCTAGTCACTGTTTTTTTTTTGAAAAAAATTAAATATCTCGAAAACGGTTAATTTTAGGAATAGGGAAACCTAAAATAACATGTATAATCCAAAATTGCAATAATATATAGGGTGTTCATTTAAAATAAGCAAATTGATGGCGACTTCCGGTATAACCCGAAGTAGTACGTGGACGCCATTATTTTAGTTGAGAAGGGCATGCCAAAAACCCGGTTTCCCAAATTTTCAAAATTCAAATCAAAGTAGTCTCTGAAATAATTCTAATGGTGCGTCAATACCACAAACTGTTTTATTAATATTTTAGTTAATTGATGTTAAAAATGTTTATCCACGACTATTGTATAATGTACCCATTATACGTCTGTTTGCTCGACCTTAATAATACCCATTAATCACGGCAGTGATTAATGAGTCATTAATCACTACTGTCAGATGCTTCCTTAATTTAGCTATAATATTATATTGTTCTGCTACAAACAATCCGTTTTTAAAATTTTATCGTGTAAACCACTAAATATTTTCAATTCAGTGCTGTACATATAAAAAAAAAATTAAAAAAGTGAATTTTCCTAGACCGGATTCGAACCCGGGACCCGCGGTTGGAAGGGAAAGAGCATCTACACTGAGCCATCAGCGACTTCATTTGTGCGAGTCGTATATCTGTTTCTTAACATACCATGTTTTTCGAAACATTTCAAAAAAAACTTCAACAAAAATATTTAGTAGTCGTGGATAAAGTATAGTATTCTACTCCCGTATAATGGGTATTATTCACTCGGTGATTTAGGCCACTCGCCTGCGGCTCGTGGCCGTAAACTTCACCTCGTGAATAATACCCATCATTATACGCTCGTTGAATAATATACTATTATGAAATATAAGACCTATTTTTTGAACCAGTGAGTTCCGACAGTTATGTCATTTTAACTTCCAACTACTGAATTAGTATACAGAATACCATCGTCCCGACATGTTCCCGGAATGTCTTTAAACGTTAAACGTTCGCCCGCTATCATCGCCGGGGTCCGCGGTTCAATATTTCCAGCATGTGGGCCGATTCGCACTAGCAACAACGCCGAACCACTCAAAATCTGCGTGTCGGAGGGCAGTTAGTTAACAGCAGCCAAGGCCCACGATTACCATAGCTCTTTAAACTTAATATAAGCGCTTCAAGCTTTCCAACTGTATCTTAATAACATCTCTCCACTGTTCACATTTCACTCTATACGACGGTGCTATCTAGAAAACCTCATATAATTCCGTGAGTCAGGCTGGTGCATTTTAGCGATAAGAATGTTCTATTTTGATAGCGTTTGCTTTGCGGATTATTGGGGATGAACGTAAATTTTCCGGTAATGGGGCTCCGGTTTTATGCGGCAGCAGATAATCATCGTTGACAAATTAGTACCGAAAAAAAAAATAACTGGTAATGATAAGGAGTATATGTGCGTGGTTTCTGTGAATTAAGCAAACAAATGTTCAATAATTTATGAGTATGGTCTATGAGAATGTACTAGGATTTCTATAGTACCTACTTCTGGGATGACTGATGGTTGAGTTATTTTTTTGCCAGAGTCCCTTAAGAGAATGCTCCTAAAAGTTGTTTTTTTCTAGATATCTCCGAAATCGTTCGAGATAAGAAAATTAAATTAAATTTGAACCGAGTAGCACTCAATTACATTGCAATTCTGATAGTCAAAAAATAATTACTAAAATTTAGCCAGTCTCAAATTGAGAGTGTTGTGGTTAAATATTGCTTGGGTTTTTTCAAATGATAATCTTTTAACAGGTCAACAAAAAACAACAAAAAGTATGTAGGTAATTTTAAATAATTTAACTGTAAAGATATACGATAAGTTGCATTGCATTTAAAAATTTTATATTAGATGCAGAAAATATATAAAACGCTATTTACAAACGTACAATCCATACACAATATAGAAAATAATTATTGTTAATCACTTATTTGACAAGAAAATATAAAAATTCGTAAAACTGACTAACTGACTGCTACTTTTCAATCTATAAATAATATGGGTTTATGAAAATAATTCCAAACAACACAGTTATGTCAATAAAACATAACATTTATTTTTTTCTCTTCGAAAATTGAATTGATGTTTAAATGTTTGCCATAAAAGAATTTTAGAAGTTAGTTTTCTGTAGAGGATTTCTTCCCAATACTGTACATCGTAATTATAAAAAAAATATATTAAGCTAATAAGATCTGCTATATAATTTAAAACCACCGACATATGTATATGTTATATTTTACATTCACAATCTGGTATGGGTGGAAATTTTATGTAGACTAGATAGCAATCACAAGATAAACTAATTTAATATTATTTATTGCAATATTAAATTTGTATTTGTTTGATTTTAGTTAACATTTTCTAATGATGTCCAATTTTAAACTATATAGTTTAATATTAAATCTATTTATAACGAGTATACTCGTATTATAGAAGTATCTTTCATAGATGTTTTAGACAGTTTTGACGTCTAACAAATGGATAATGTGGCTTAATGGCTTAACGTATGTTCCTTGGGATTGAAATAAAAAAAGTTTAATATGTAATTGAAGAATGAAAAACATTCTCTAATATTGATCAAATATTCTAAACTTAAATTTTATCCCCAAACTACTATCCAAATGCTATTTTTTTAAATTTACTTTGTTGCGTTTAGTGGATGTAAATTTCAGCGTCACTGCAACTTCGGACGTCTTTCAAAGATCCAATCTGAACCCTTTACTGTTTTTAACATTTATATCAACGATATTTGCACCATTGTAGAATCTGCAATTCTGATTTTTGATGAGGAATATATTGGAAAACAGATAATATTTGTAGACTTCATGAGCTCGTCGAATAATCTAAATGATTTTGAAATACGATGCAGTGAAAGTCGGTGAGAACTCTGCTGTTTCTAAATATAAAATTGTTATGTATATTAGGAGGTGTATTATAGAAAATATGCATGTAAAATTAGTAGAGAAATAATTAAAGATCTAGGAGTTTTTCTATGGCTTTTAATCAGATCAGATCAGATTAGTTATATGTCAAGAAAATGGCTGGTCCCATCGCTTATAAATGTAAGGGCTCTGGAAATTCAATATTATGTGTATGTTAGATCTAATCGTTGGTCTGGAACTCTTACCATTATATAAACTGTGATAGTCTTGAAATTGTATGAGGACTATTTCAAGCTTTTAAGTGCAGTAGATGTATCTGGGGTAAGAAATTATTTTGAAGTGTTCAAATTTGAGTTAACTTTTCAATTTTTTATAAAACATATTTTATACGAAATAACTAGATATCTTTATTAAATATTAACGTAAATATGTTACAGTTAAGAATGGAAAAGGATGTTAGATAAGTGACCACCTCTTGCAGCTCTACAAGTCTTCAATCTTTCAGCAAAATTTTCCATCACATGTTCACATAATATTAGTTCAATTTGAGTGATTTGTTCAATTGTTTTCTTTCTGATGCTGAATGGTTTAAGGATTGTCAGCATTAACTTGACTCTTAAAAAAAACTCAAAAAGAAGTCTAATGGAGATAGATCACAAGATCTTGGTGGTCAATGACCATCCTTCGATTTCCAAATTTCTGTTCCAAAAAATCGATTGTTTCCGCTGCTGGACATGTTGCACCGACCTATTGAAACCACATATTCTTCACATTAATACACTCCAACTCACCTCATAAAAAGATATTAATCATAGTTCGATATCGAGCACCACTCACAGTACCGTTTTCATATTTATTTTCGGGGAAGTATGGACCAATCATTCCACCAGACTAAAAACCATACCAAACAGTTACTTTTTGTGGATGCATTGGTTGTTCCAATATTACTCGTTCGGGGTTTTCTTCGCCCCAGATACGACAATTTTGTGTGTTTACATATCCACCAACTTCAAAATGAGCTTTATCACTACAGAAGATTTTGTTAAAAAAATATATAATTTTTGTCTTTCTCTTGCAGAGCCCGATAATTCTTGTTTTAACTGTATTTTGTAAACCTTTTAGTGAAAGTGTTGAATAAAGTGAGTTGTTTGCCTAATTGCTGTGAACGATGACGAATTGATGTGTTTGGTTCTGCAGTGACACTACCATTGACAGCTGCAATATCTTCTGAAGAAGTTTATGAATTTCAGTGATATTCGACACGACAAAATTATACTGGGGGGTTTTCCAGAGATTATTGGATCTGTATAGTACAGTGGATGTAAATTTGATAAGTACATCAAGTCGTATTCCTAGTTTCACTTAATGCGATCTGTTAATATTTTTTCGAAACTTTTATACACTTTACGCATAACAATAACATAAGCGAGCCATACACACTGTTGTCAAATTAAAGATTTTTTTTAATATTATGGATAAAGTGGAGATAAAGAATCAGTGTTTATGATAAACAAATTATTACTTACTGATTTGAGGTCGTGTTGGAAGAGCACATATCTAAGGTCCTTTGAGCACTGATATCCTCTGACATTCTGTTGCCTCTGAAATTAAAATAAAACCTTTAGCATTTAATTCTTTTAATATTTACTGGCAATTGAATAAAAAAAAATGTATATAGTTTCATTGCAAAAATGTTATTAGCGAATTAGATAAGCAATCAAATCGGTGCAATATTATGTGCAATATTCTTTTTATTATTTACATATTCCTAAGTAAATTGTTTTCAGGTTATTAATATCGCTTCTATCATATTTTTCTTTGTGGAAAAACATAAACTGAGTTTTCAAAACAGGTCTTACTAAAATGGCTCACACATACCCTACAGTTAGGTACCTTATAACTGATTATAGAATTTTATAGAATTAAAGATGACATTTTGCTCATGGAATGGTAATTTGTGCAAAAAGTGTCTGTTTGGTAAAATAAGACCCATCACAATATGTACCGCTTTATACGTTCCTAATCCGGATGACGAAACGATTAGTTTTATTTTAGTTGTCAAAAAAATTTTACTTATAATTTTATATTATTAACAGGTATATCTACAGATCACTTTTGTATCGTAACAATATGGCAATCGAAGGAAGAAACTATTTGTATTTTAATTCTGGGTGTCAACCCTGACAGCAAAGAAAATAAATCAGAGTCAGCAAGGCTCGATATATTATGGTCTTCTTCGAGCAGTATATTAGCAGTTTATTAAAAGAAAATGGCTGTGTGGAATCAACAAGTGCCAGCACAATAGATCACCAAGCATCCCTCCAGTAGAGACTGACGTATTCAGAATTATTACCTATAAACGTGTTACACCATCACGACCATTTGCAAATCTGGTTATGCGGGACCAGCATATATGAAAGATAGAAAAATTCGGAATTCCAAAATGATAAAGGCGTATATGTTCATTTTTATATTCATGGCAACAAAGGCAGGTCACTTGGAGCTTGTGAGTGATTTGAGGTCAGAAATACTTCTAAATACTTTTAAGCAATTCGTTTCACGAAGCGGATTATGCAGTCACATCTTTTCAGACAATGCGACGAACGTTACAGGTGCCAAAAAGGGTTGTTAGATATAACAACAAAAATAAATAAAATTCAACAAAAAATACAATGGCATTTCATACCTGTACGGTCGTCAAATTTTGGTGGTATATGGGGCGCCACTGTAAAAAACGTTAAACATCACTTACCGAATATTTAATAATACAGGGAGTACCAAAATGAATATCGGGGTTTTAAAGCTTTGTAGAATTTATTACAGTGACCTCATCATTACAAATTATACATCAAGTGAACGAGTAACTCAAACAGTTTGTCCTACAAGTATTCGTGCGCGTGCGCATGCTCTGGTTCCTTCTAACGTCTTCCGTTAGAAGCGCTAGTAGCCAAGATGGCAATTAGGGAGCAGAAAGCTTTTTGTGTGTTACAGTTTGCAAAGACTGAATCTGTAATTAGAGTGCAACGTGCGTTCCGTATTATGTTAGTAAGTGATGGCTCGTTCCTCAATTACACAAAGCTGAACCAGAGAACTTTATTTGGCAGCAAGATGGTGCGCCGCCTCATTGGCATGCCTTCGTAAATGATTGGTTAAACAACGTTGTTTCCGACAGGTGGATTGGCCGCAAAAGGCCGGATGACAGAGCTTGTTCCGCATGGCCTCCACGTTCACCAGATCTGACGCCATGCCATTTTTACCTTTGGGGGTTTGTAAAGGATCGGATGTATGTGCCTCTGCTACTAGCTGACCTAAATGACCTACGACATAGAGTTGAAGCTGCAGTTGTATCAATTACCTACTCCAGACATACTGAGCAAGGTTTGTGACGAACTCGGCTATCGACACGGTGTGTGCCGTGTGACGGAGGGTGCGCACATTGAACACTTGTAGGACAAACTTTTTGAGTTGCTCGTACATTTGATGTATAATTTGTAAAGGTAAGGTCACTGTAATTAATTCTACAAAGCTTTAAAACCCCGATATTCAATTTGGAACGCCCTGTATAAATTTAACAAATGATGAATATTATACATTTGTAACGAATATCGAAGCTGTTTTAAATCCCCGAGTATTATATTCTGTCCCTTATTCGATAATTCAAATGTTCCAATATTTTTGGACTAGGTAGAAAACCGCATAGCTACATCGATGTCAAGAGGGAACCAAATGCAATTGGTACCTACAGATTTATCATCAATTTTGAGTTCTCTGGTGCTTCTAAAGAAGACCCAAAAGAAGGATAATCACCGTTCGTAGTATCAGTGAAAACTAATGATAATGATGATGTAGTAAAACGTACAATTGGAAGGTGTTACCTAGTTGAAATTAGTGCAGATCACCTCACCCCTTTTCTTTGAAAAAGGAACATTCAAGGGAGTCGGTATGTTCAGTAAATCAGTAAAATATACCCCTGTAGAATATGCAATCCTTTGTACGTTCCTAACCCAGGTGAGGAAACTGTTTGTTTTGCTTTAATTGTAATTAGTTGCATGTTAAGAAAAAATTGCATATATTATAAACACAAATATCTACAGTCCACTTTTGTATCGTAACAATATAGCAATCCAAGAAAGAATCTGTATTTTCTGTATGTCAATTCAGATAGAGAAGAAAATAAATCAGAGCTAGCAAGGCTCAACATTATTTATAGTACAAATAACACAGTTACAAAACAACCAAGTAATACATATAAATTATATTATAAATTTATTAATAGTATATTAAACATGTTTAGAAAAGTAAAGTTTCACTAAACGAATATCTCACTCGTACTCAAAAGCTATATGAGTTTAGTTAAACTGCCTTTCTTACGAAATTTGTTTATACTATTTTTTCCCATTTTGTGCACGTTTATATAATAACAATTAAGTTTCATTTTTGTAAGTCGAACTNCTTACCCTTCCAGTTAATTCGGATGTAACGTTTAACTTATTATTTATTGACCAATTGAAGTGTAAATAATGATTTATTGTATTTAAATTTTCGCTCTACTTTTCATTTGAAACCACGAAACTGTTCCCAATCCGTCTATGCAGGACCAATTCGGCCAAAGTAGAAACCTATATCCGAAGGGACCCAAACTACCCTATACAAGAAGTAGAAAAGTAGAAGATGCAGCGCGGAAAATAGTAATTTTTACAAAGTTTCTAAAAATTTCCATCAAAGTTCTTATGAAGCTTCCAGCCGCCCCTATACACCAAAACCACTGTAGGCGATATCGCTGGAGGTCAATGTAGCAGAGCAGCCGTCGACAACGGGCTGCAAAAATAGAAAATTCACCTCAGTTTCGAATATTGGAAACTGAAAAGCTTTCCGAACATTTCTTAATTAGAGCCAGGAAACAGCAAAACAAAACCAATGTACCATGTTATACTGTAAGTCGATCATCAGTTCCAGTCGGCGATGATCCAAAGATGGGTAACCTTTAGAGGGTTCAATTGTCCAAATCTAAGGCGACAGACATCTGTGGATCCATCGAGGACCGTGACCGAACGTCAACCTTGATGCCTTGCCGTACTTTTCAAATTATTACCATTTTGCATTGTATAACGCCTCTGCAGATCAACAATAAAAAATACCTTCATATTTTAAGAGTAAATCCATTTTTCAATAATTCAAAACATTGATAAGAAATTTTCACAATATTGCCAGCACATTGCTCCCGACCTAGACCTAGCGCTCCATCCACCAGACATTGTGCAATGCTGCGGTGAAGATCCTAAGGGATAAAATAAGAAGCTGCCCAAATTTATAGGTACTCATAAGTAGAACGCTTACACAAGCTCCAAGAAGCTTTCCTTTCAGGCACTCACAGGAGACCTCGAAATCAGTGCTAGGCAATGCAAAGCCAAAAAAAAACAGTGATATCAGACAACCATACTCCAAGTGTCAAAAAAAAAACATAAGGCTCAGTTGAAAGCCTCCAGGAAATCATGCCATCTCAAGAGTGTACCAAAGTGGAAGAAGGCAACAAAACAAATTAGATTCTTACTATTTTTCAAGGTAACTACCCGCGTCTGATCACATGGACAAAATCATGTCCCGCGACATGGCTCACTAAGAACGCCAAATATGCCTAACAAGGGTCAAAATAAGGTAGATCCGCCATATGACACCCAAACTGGTGCTCAAATGTAGAGACAACGAAACACCAACCTTATTGAAAGACGAAATCGTATCTTATAAGGGTGTTCCCATATTTTCATATTTAAAGCTTTTTCAAAGTATGGAACTGAGAAACTAATATCTGAACTCATATATTTAATTTTTTCTGGGCTGTTAATATCTGGATATATATTTTTTAAGCTGTCTCTGGGAGAAGTACGTATTTGACTTCAGTTTAACATTTCCATTAGGCAATTTATGACATATTTCTTGCGATTCGTAGTATACAGATATTAATAGACCGTATAACAAAAAAAGGAGTCTGCCTCTGCCCTAAAACAGCTAGTGGCGTTAGCCATAAATATTTCCTACGCCAGGGAGCATGTAAACAAGAGGGAGCATTGGCCTGATAAATACTTCCTATTTGAGGGAGCCACTACGGAAGGAATATCCAAAAGGAGAGCGCGGGTTCGCTTCTAAATTTTGCATTGCCTCAGTCGTGTGAAAATTGTAAGTATCGCTTTGATGGATTGAAAATTTGTACTTTTTGCAAATTTTTTATTCACCGAATTTTAAGTATAATATTAACCTTGCACACAGAAAAACCCTACAATTAAACTATACCTACAGCTAGAAAAATGATTGTATCCATAAGAAAAATAAGATTTCTACACATCGTAAAAAGTGGAAAAAAATTATAGTAGGATGAAACCCATTGGAAAAGGAAGAGAATATAACAGAAATGAAAGGAAAAATAATTTACGGGCGATCTGAGGTCGGGAAGGGGAAGGGGGTGAGTTTTTAAGGGTAAAAAACGGTTTCCCATGATTTCCGGAAAAACTACAAGTCTTATGGAGAAAAGTTAAATGGCAAAGTTGTAAGTAATAAAAAGATCTACAACTTTTGTATTTACACTTTTTTCACATAACCTCAAAAT